CGACGCCAGCGCCATGCGAGCTGGTGAGGTCGCCAGTTTCGGATTTTTTTAGTCGATCATTCAGTTCAGTTAGCGAATTCTGCGAAAAAAGTGGACTCTGATGCTGTTGCTGTTGCTGTGACCCATTATAAAGAACCGAGGTCAGATGAGGAGGACGGCTCACTTCTATTTCCTCTTTCGTCTCCGTGAGGGGCTGAAGCTGAGGGTGTGTAGGCGGTGTTAGGGACAGAGAAAGCCTCTCATGCCAGAGTCTGTGCATGTTATGGATAAAGTTGTCAAGCATTGCTGTCACGTCGACTGCATCTGCAGGCGTATTGTAGTTGAAAGGATGGCGAGGAATGGGTGGGAAATTGTGGGAGCTGCCTTGGGGTCTGGTGGGAGCGGGAGTTTGATTAGTTTCATGCTGTTGCCGCTCTGGCCTTACGCCTAGAAGAGCTTGGGTGCGTGCTTTCAGCACAGCTAACTCTTCGCTGGCCCAGAAGTCTTTCGTCTCGGTGTCTGATGACGTCTTGTCCGGACAGGAGGCCGTGGAAGCAGCAGATGAATCCTTGCTGAGTCTAATAGGACTTATTGGTTCTGACGAAGGCGCAGGCGGAGGGGATTGGGTGGAGGAGCTTGGGCACAGAGAGGGTGATGAGAGGATGGATCGCGGGGAAGGGTCTGTGCTCATACTGTCGTCCCAAGTCGGCGGATTCAAGGAAAGGTTGACTAGTTGGCTTTTGGAGTAGTGTTGACCATGACTGAAGATAACAGAGGTAGGTTTCCGTGGGGTTACTGTGGCCTTCGCTGCGGCCAGTCCACTTGCCAACTGACCCAGTTTGGCCCAATATTCGACGGCAGTGAAGTCCGTCCCTAGTAATTTTTCTGGCCACTGTGCGTAAGAAGCCCCCATTGATGTCCTAGCCAATGGCGATATCAAACTAGAAAGCAAAAAATGCGGTTTAATTTAATCTTCACGTACTGCTCTCGATTGTTAATGTGTTCGCCAGCAAGAAGATATTTAAAGTGCTTACTATAGTTAGACAGCGAGGTGTGGAACAGGAGCTCTTGAGTCCGCTGCTTCATAAGTTGACTACTGCGACCGAGGCCTTAAACTGCATCTCAATACATCCGCCCGGGATCTCTTGATGTTCAAATCTATTGGCTATCAGCTACTCTCGACCATCTTGTATCTAAAACACCGAAACTGTCTGTTGGACTTGCCTTCTCTCATTTTTCAGCTGTTTTGATTTCGAGAGACCCAATATTTGTTCGTCAACCATGGTCTTTCCATTCACCTAGGTTCAGCTTCTAAGAAACACCTAAAATTGGGACGATCGCTTGATGTAGCCAAGTGTGTTTGAAAACACACATGGGCCCTAGGATTACAACTAGATGTTCGTTTCACTGCGCCTAGAAGTTGTCTACTTATAATTCCACTATTGATACTAACTAAGAGACAAGACAACTCCCGGAGGGTTTCAATGGGCAACTAAATAAACTGTTATTAAGTTGGTTG